TTTTTGAAATTGTATTTGAATCATAGTGTGGAAATTGATAAACACAGGCTGAATGTTGGATTTTTCTTTTAGCACGTAAACCCAATAGATTTGAGTGTGATCGTCATTAAATGTAACGAACCATTTTGCATGAGTATGGTTCGGGGTTCGTGAGGGTCCCCATAAATCACCATGGATCATGGTGAATGAATTTGATGGTTTGTACGTGGATTTCAGGAATGATGCACGTTGATGTTTTGCAAGTTCACAAATTTCACATTAAAGATCAACAGAATTTTTAATTGGAAAAATAGAAGGAAATATACGTTTCAAGTATTGAAAATTTGGGTTACCCATTCTCAAATGCCATAACATAACGTCACTATTTTTAGGGACAAATGTAGAATTTCAAAGTGTAATTTGACGTTGTTTACTCACATCAGTTTCTTCAAAATAGTAGAGTCCTTCACACTCCTTCGCACTGGTCCTGAAAAACACAATGAGATGGAAGGAATTTAGCAGAACGATTTGAATTTTTTGTCAGCTGGCTTATTGATAATAAATTACTGGATAAATTTGGAACATGAAGGACCTATTCTAGAGTTATAGAATCAGAAATTTGAATACTCCCCTTTCCTGTGACTCAAGAAAGCGATTCATCTGCAATTTTAACCTTAAGATTACCAGGACATGGTGAGTATGAGGAAAACAAGTGATAAGAGTCCGTCATGTGATCGAGTGCTCCAGAGTCAATAATCCAGGGAGTTTGAGATTGAGCGGTGGATTTTACGGCTATGAAAAAATTACCTCTGTGCGCTAGGGAACTTGACAAACCATTCGTGGAAGTTTGACCAGGTATTTGAAGACTAGAGACAATTTGGTAGAATTGCTCTATCTGTTCGGAATTAAACTTGTTGTTTTGTACTTCAGGTTTTTCTGTTTGATGATCGATCGACGCTTGGTATCCACGGCTTTTATTGTTTTATCTTGGTTTCCAATTAGTTAGTTTCCCATGTAAACATCAGCATGTGTCCTCTTTATGTCCTGACTTCCGATAATGTTCACACCAGGGTCGTCCCCGTTGTCGTTTTGGGCTTGACCCATTTGTTGCCCCTTTCGAGTAAAGACTCATAACTTCAGGTCCAACACTAGAATTTTTTAAGACCTCATATGAATTTTGGGCCCCATTTTTTTATAAGCCCAATTCCATTATTCACCGGTGCAAGACCTTTTCATAATGGGGTTGAAACTTGAGCTCGTGACCCAAGCACTCCACCGAACTCTTCCAACATGATTTTCGTCTCACCAGACTTCTGCGAATACCTCCCTTGTGGACGGTAATGGTCGATGGCCAAGAATTTGACCCCTTATGTCATCGAGGTCGCGGTGTAGTCCGGCCAAGAACTCGTATCCTCTCTCGTTTTCTAATTTTTTTCTTGTAACGAGCGCTATCTCCTGGCATTCCCATTCTTCTTCAGAACTCCAGTTGAGTTCCTGCCACAAAGCCATCATCTCCAAGTAGTAATCAGTCACATCTCGTTCACCCTATTTAGTTTGACATAACCTAGTCTTGATTTCAAAAATTTAGGATAAATTCTCGAAATCTAAGTATGTTTCCTCGACTGCGTCCCATACATCCTTCGCAGTTTGTAGAAACAAGTTTTCCCGATGGCAGGTTTCATGGAGTTTACGAGCCACGCAATAACCATGGAATTCTCTTACCTCCATTTTTTCAGATGTGCAGCATTGGGTGCGGTAGGCTTTTTTGTTTCTCCAGCGAGGTAACCTAATTTCCCTTTTCGATCAATTATTAACTTGATCGATTGAACCCATTCTCGAAAGTTCTTCCTATTCAATTTTTCAACTGTCAATTGGAATGATGAATTTTTCCCGGAACCCATGGCAGTAGCTGCTTCAAATTCGCCATTGAGAGAGTCTAAGTTTGTCGATCCTCTTCTACCGGCGGTGGTTTCTATCATTATTTTGTTGGGTTAAGAGATGATCTTAGGCTCTGATACCATGTTAAGACCTGGAGTTCCATCTTAAAAAGTCAACATCGTTAAGAGAAGTAGCCAAAACCCATATAAATTAGTCTATGTTTTCATCTTTATATGTGAGATTTTATTCCTTAACATGTCCCTACAAGATGGGATCGTTTGAGCAAACTAATCTTAAAATTCGTGTGCTTAATTTTTTGATTTTTAATCGGATTGAATTGCTCGTTAGAGCTTAATGGGCTCTGATACCACGTAGAAATATAGAGAAATTGAAGTCACAACGTTTCTTCTATATTTCTTGAATTTTGTATAGTGCAAAAGTCCCTATTTATAGTACAAAGATGGAAAAAAAAGGATATAAAATTATCCTACAATCTCTACAAATCTGCAACAAATCAATCAATATATTCTAACTATGGAACGGGGAATCCTTATCAATTATCCTCAATCAATTCGGGATTCCAACAGAAATAAGTGCAATGTCCTTCTTTCTTTTTCCAACACGAGATTTGCCTAATTACTTGGTGAGGAGTGCATGAAGAAGCATTTTTCACAAATTTCAGGCTGAAATCCGTTCTTTTTAAGTAGCAGGATATTTCGTATACAATTTCTTATATGTTCTATAATTTAGTAATCGTAACACATCTTCCTGAGCAACAATACCTAGGCTCGCCAACATGCCTTCAACTGTCTCAGGTTTTACATTGATTCCAGATCCGTAAGTCATTTGGCAGTTGTATAAATGATATGTTCCTGGCATTAGCCTCTTGGGGTCTAACAAGGATATGCAGACAGACAGCAAGTTAACCAAAACGGATTTTGGTCGTGATTCCTCCAAAGCATGACAGAATAATCTTCCTATAAAACTGTTACGCAAGCCAGTTCAAAATATGAGGAGGGTTAAGAAAAGGGGGAATAAGAAGAAAGAAGAGAAAATGGCTAATCTTACCTTGGACTGGAGATTTTTGAAGCTAATGCCGGGGGAGCATATCGAGCTATTGCACAAAGTGTTTCAGCAGCATTAGCATGCACTCCAGGGCAGTCCTGCAAATTTGTAGTTATGCCTATTTCTTTACGATAAATTAACAGTGACAAGAAATAGAAGTGTGTATGTTCAGCTAAAGTCACCTTTGATAGGCAGGAAATTCATTATCTATAATGTGTACTTTGAGCCTTAAAAAGAACTTAAATTTTATCATGAAATGAATAATCTCTGGCACTGACTTCCTAATGTGACACCGTGATCAAGGAATCTGCAAACTAGTGTTTGAGCTCGTTCAGTAAAGTAGCAAGAACTTAAGAAAGACGCAAATTCAATATGCACAAAGGAAGCACACACAGTCTGATGCATGGATCTTTTGTTACTATAGATAACCCTCCAATTCGTTGTAAACAGACTTGAATTCCGTGTGTTCCAAAATGAACCCAGGCAGGCTCTTAAACATTCACGCGTGAAAGCCAAAGGCACTAAAGAGAAGTAGGAATATAAATATTCATTATTATGCAAAGTCCCTAAGCAACTTACTGATGAACTGAACTTTTCCACAATCATCTCCAGAACATTCATATCATCCAACCATGGAATTGAGTCCAAGTAGTTAGTATATATGTGCTCATCAGCACCAATTAGTCGAATTAGAACCTGCTCAAAAGGAAAAACACAGATTTCAGATAGGTGATATTATCGAGAAGAAAAAATTGAACAGCTAACCTCCATGATAGATGAAATTTTGATGTGGTCAATAAGCTTCCTGATAATATCGTGATGATCTTCGATGAGCATTAAATGAGTACATCATATCAAGAAGATTTAGGGTTCAAAAATTCAGCAGTAAGCAGTGCCTCCAAATATCCAACCATCCATATGGAGAGCCAGTATAAGAAAATATAATTGCATGTATTATATCATACAAGTCCAAAAAACAATGAGTGCGGTCCAAGCTACAGTACAATTAGTTTCCTAATGCCTACCGAAGCCATATTCTTTAATAATAGGTTGAATTAGTTGAAAAAACTATTGCTTCCTCTGTCAAGTCATGGCTACACATGACAAAGTTAAAGAATTCCTATTTTATATCTGTACTAACATATAGTTTTTCCTACCCCCCCCCCTCCCCACACACATACAAAAATGTCATTCAAATTCCAGGTTCCATCACTCAACTTCATAACATCCCCTTTCATGTTGATGCCAATAGTAAAAATATCATGAAGTTATGCACAAAGAACAACCAAAAGCACATTTAACTGGGTATATAGAGTCCATAAGACCAGCGGAACCTAGATTTCTAGACAAAAGCAGATAAGAACTGAGGATATTTACAAAAAAATGACTTACTCGTACATAATTCATTAAAGGAATCGTCTTCCGCAGCAAGAGGCAGACAACTACCTAAAATTATGAAAATCTGGATATTAAATACCACCATAGAAAACAAACAATAATACCCAAGAGCTAATTAAACACCACCATAGAAAACAAACAATAATGTCCAATAAGTTCAGTTCATCAGTAAGCTAATTCCCAAACAATTGAATAACACAAGAATGACCATGCTGGTCAATGGGAGAATCAAGGAAGACCATCCTTGGTGCCATCATGCATGCTAACAGTACAACACTACTTTGGGAACATCAAACACGAACGAACTCAATAAGCACTTTTTTTGCTTTTACTTTATACTCTAACATGCGCCATGGGAACTTACAAGCCATTAGAACTTGCGCCATGAGAATGTCTACTTTAAAATACTCAAACCAGAAATGAAAACATTAGGCTTCAAAGCCCTCGGATTCAACTCAGTAAAGGGGCAAAAAATCCAAGAGTAAGAGCAAATTCATTAAAAAACGTGGTTAAAAATAAGAGAGAGAAAAAAAATATTTTGAAAATAATGGGGACCAAGCAAGGGCTTTATATAAATTCATTATAAAAAATTTGTTATACACCAGATTTATGTCTTTCGGGATTCCAAATCCCAATAACCAACGATTTTATCAAATATTTGACATGATGATGTTTAAAGGCTACAGAATTATATCAACTTCTTAAATTTATGCCAACAACTTGAAGAGCTCACAAATGCTTAAAAGCCAATTCTAAAATAAACCTATTTGAATTGAGTTCAATATCAACAACTTTAATAAATATGTGATGGACAAAAAAGACAAAAGATATTGTATTACAACCTAGGAGTACAAATCGAACAG